AAATATTGGTGTAGCAGTTAAGATGCACTCACCAATTTCTGTGACCTGAGCTTGCACTGAAGAATGTCCAAACAACTCCTTGCTGCTAATTCAATTTTCTTCATTTTGCCTGCCTTTTTTTACCCCTTTTTTCTTGTTATATATATGTGTGTTGTCTGTGACTCTGCGGTTCTTGTCATGGGGCATGCCGGGGACGAAAGGGAGAGAGGGTGAGCTCCACCTTGGCATTTGGATTTTGAAGGCACAGATTCATTAATGGGGCATGCCGGTGCATCATTCGGGAGAGAGGGTGAGCTCCACCTTGGCATTCGGATTTTGAAGGCACAAATTCATTAATGGGGCATGCCGGAGCATCATTCTTTTTTAAAATGTTTTCTATTTAAAAATATACAAAAACAATAAATACAATACACACACAAACACACCGACATGATAATGGTTTTTTCTGGGATAGAAACGATGAGAACAAACAGAAACGTCACATGTATTTTGCTCATAGTATATTTCCTGACATATACGTTCGGTTCTTGAATTCTTTCATTTTCTGCAAAAATAAATAAATAAAAAGGCCAGATTTTCATCATAATAGACGTCCTCCTCCATGCTGACGGGTCTCGTTTTTATCACCATGGTTCTCCCGTTGACTTTGAAGGCAAAGGCCCTTTATTTGATAGGGAACGGGTCACGTAAGAGTAGAGTTGGCAAGGTGGTTCCCTCCGCCATAATGGATTTGCAAATGACAGATATTAATGTCAGGGTGGAGTGTAGGGAGGAGAGTTCTATCTTTCTTGCCTTTTCAATTCTTCTTTTGACGAGCACGCTATCCTTGTCTATGCTTGATGTGATAGAGCTCCTGACTCCGAGCTAACTCGCCTCGCTGATTAATGCTATTAATTTATCTACAGACTTTGCTTGATGGTTTGGTTCTTTCTTTGCCACAGCCTATCCCTTTACGGTTCGCTTCCCAGTTGCAAGTTACACCTTGCGTAGACAAAAATTAAGAAAAAATAGTACAAAGATTCTGTTTCTGATTTAAAAAATAGTAAGTAAATGACGTTTTTAGCCTGATTATTACTGAATATAGGTGCTCCTGCCACCTGCAGGCTGTAAAAATTATCTGTAGAAAGATTGGGATGACTTGGTGGGCCTCGTAATATTTGAAAAATAAATAAATAAAACTTTAGAATTTATATTTGATTAGTTTTATATTAATTTGTATTTTTTAAAATTTATATTGTCTGAGATGATAGAGTTTAGAGAGGCAACTCTTGCGGACCTTTTATTTAGAGAAATAAATGTTATTTATATAATTTTTTTAAGATATATATCTTAAAAAATATATATTTTATAAATATCTAAGTTATCAATACTTAAGATATTTATAAAAGGATGGATATTGTATAAAACATTAATTTTTCCATTAAAAAAAACCTTGTATTCCAGATGTTATGAGATATGGAGCACAGAAATAAATAAATTATTAAATTCAAACTCAAATGTCAAAGTTAGAAATAATTATTTTTAATTTAATTTAGTTTTAGTTTTATTAAAAAACTAAATTAAAATTCTTAAAAAATCAAAACTGGTTCAAAATAACAGATTTTAATTTTATTTTTTAGAATAAAAACAGGTTTAAATTGATTTTAACTTATTTTTTTAGTTTAGTTTAATTTTTTTGGTTTGAATTTGATTTAAATTTTTTAGTTTTTAATTTATAAAACTAAAACCGAGCTGAATTAATAATTTTTTTACCGTTTTAATTAATTTAATAAAAAGATTTATAATTCACGTTTTAATTAATTTAATAAAAAGATTTATGATTCAATTATTTTTTTATTTTTTTGATTTTTTTTCACCTCTAATCCTAGTTTATTTTTTTATTATTTTTTTATTTTTTTTCACCTCTAATCCTAGCAACCTCCGAGACAGATGTCGCCTATCCTCTTTTCCTTCACTGTTTTTCCTCTCTTTTACCACCTTTGCTGTAGCACTGAATTCAACGTTAACCAGATGTGAATAACATAGTAGACAGGAGATTGATTGATCTTGCAACAAGTTGCGAGCATTTGATTGTCCTGCTACAGTCACGTTCTGGTGTTAAAAGGGAATGGTAGTAATTATTTTTTGAAATATTTTTATTTAAAAATATATTAAAATAATATTTTTTTAAATTGTTTTTGACATCAACGTATTAAAATAATTAAAAAAATAAATAATATATTAATTTAAAATAAAATAAATTTAAAATTTTAATATGTTGAAGTCATCGTTTAGCATCTGACATGCTCGGGCAGGTAGTTTCTACAGTGAACTGGGTAAAGTTCTCAAGTTCAGTCACTTCCTGTAGATTTCCCAGAATCTTTTCTGAGGCAGATCTAAATTGTTTGCCAAGACCTAACCCGAACTTGTTCCCCTCTTGATTGCTAAAATATAGTAAGTACCACACAGTGAACCCTGTTGAAATCTCGCATGAATAAAGAAATCATTGATCAGCTTCGAGTCTAAAAGTTCCCCAGCTCGGCATGCTTGACTCTCTTTTGGCTTTTACTCTCTGGAGTTTGAACAGACAACCTCGCAACTTTTTCCTGTGAATTAGAAGACAAAATAAACCTGCTAGAAAGTTGCGGTGACAGGACATTAGAGGAGATGGAGCTCTCCTAGTATTGGCAATGCTTTTTCTTGGATCAGTGAAAGGAATGTTGAAGCTGTTTGCTTTTGGGTAGTTGGTAATGGACAGAAAGGGACCTCCCCGGCTGCCTGATCATTGTACTCCCATCTTTATAAAAGTTCGGCAAGGCAAGAACCATTATGAAAAATTGTTACGTTTATTGATTTGTTGGCCATTAACCCAAAAGATCGTCCAGAAATCTTTTTCTGCATTATTAAAACCCGGCCTGATTTGATGGTTCAATCCATTTCTTGAGTGACCCGGGTAACCTGAGATCTAAACTGGAGTGGGTTTTAGTAAAAATAGAGGGAGAATTGGTAGTTTTTTATAAGAAAAAATTTAATATTGTTAAATTAAAAAATTATCAAAATAATATAATTTAAAAAATAATTAGCAAAATAGTATAATTTGTGCTTTCTATGTTTTTAAAACAAGACATCATAAAATATTACATTCTAAGTAGGGAATCGTGATTAAATAAACTTAGTGTTTAAGATAAGGATGCGATTAGTTTTTTTTTTAACTGGACCCACATAAAAAATATTTTTTATTTTTATGAGATATAATTTATATTTTAAAAATATTATATTTTTTAAAAAATCCAACAACTAGAACAAACACACACTTAATTCCCTCAAACAGAAGCAGCCCCTCTCTCTTTCTCTTCAACCACCGCGCACACAATCTCTCTATAAAAGAACTAGTCGGAATCCCCTTATCTAAGCCTTAAAACATCCCAAAAAAAGAAAAAAAAATCCATCAATTTACTGTGGATTAGGGCTTTTTTCATATCTTCAATCTTTGTATTGTATAGATTCTTCAACATTTAGCTCATCGGAGATAACTACAAATTTGAGTAATCATGCTCTGTATGGTGGCGCTGAAAAGGGCACTATGGAACATGAAATAAAGACTACAATAATGGACTATTTGAATATTGATTAGCCATGTTTTTTAGTCCAGCGATAAGAGAATTTTTTTTTTTTTTGGATTCAAGTTTTATTATATATATTGTTATCCTCGTAATATTTTATATATTTATTGGACTTACAAAATATTTAATAGATCATCGGATTAACCGTGATACACGTAAATTAATCTGGATATCCACATAAATATATATATATATATAAAACATGGCTAAACAATACTAAAATTCAGGATTTTTTTTCACTTACAGACTACAATAATGGACTATTTGAATATTGTTTAGCCATGTTTTTTAGTCCAGCGACAAGAGAAATTTTTTTTTTCATTCTTATTATATATGTTATTATCCTTGTAATATTTTATATATTTATTGGATTTACAAGATATTCAATAAATCATGAAATTAACTGTAATATACGTAAATTAATCTAGATATCCACATAAATATATATATAAAAAAAACATGGCTAAACAAGGATTTTTTTTCACTTATATGGAAAGGAAGAGTCATGGGGAGAGAAATAATGCATATAATTTTTTCCTTTTGGTTTTTAATATGTTATATATAAAAATAATAACATCATTTCACACAATTTAAAATTTTAGCTAGTTTGTCCAAAAATGTAAAGTATACCTTTTCAAATTGCAAAGATAAAAAAAACAAATTATAGAAGGTTATATAATAATATTTTTAAGTGCTTGTAATAGATTTTATAATATAAAATTATTGTGAAGTTTGATTAATATGGAAATATTAAATGACCGTCGAGGAATATCTAAGAGTGTTTGTTAGATGAATAAATAGAATACATCGAATTCAAATATTCAAATGCAGAATCATGTATATAAAAATTAATGAAAAATTGATTTTTTTTTGGAAATCTTGACCATTAATTGTTTGCAATATAGTGATTTCTAGAATTAAAAAAATTTGATCGATTACGATTTTTTAAACCCATTTCTTTTTAATTATTATATTTTTTAAACCCATTTCTTTTTAATTATTTATTATTTTTTTTGTTAAACTCTGTCAGATAAAGAAAAGCACAAGATAATAACCCGTTACTGCAAGTAAAATAAAGTTCAGTTTTTTTTTTAAATGATTTTTATTTAAAAATAAATTAAAATATTTTTTATTTTTTAAAATTTATTTTTAATATAACAATTTTTTAAAATCATTTAAATTATAACACTTCTTCTTTAAAATGTTTTTCATTTTAAAACACTTTAAAATAATATTTTTTATTTTTTAAAAATTAATTTTGATTTTAGTATATAAAAATAATATCAAAAAATCAAAAAATTATTAATTTAATGCAAAGCATACCTGGGCCTAAACCGACTGTGCCGGTCAACATTCCTCCTTCCCTCACAAAACTAATAAGAAACCCCAATCTTTGCTCTCTCTCTTTCAGTCATTTGCTCTTTCCTTCTCTCTCTAAAAATCTCCACTGAGAGAAACTTCAATTCGCTTTTCAATTCGCTTACAGTAGTAATACTTCACATTTTCTCAGGAACTTTCCCATTCATTTTCTCTAGAAAAAAGAAAAGAAAAGAAAAGAAAATCTCGAGCGTTGTAGAGGAATGTGTCAGCCTTATTTACCATGTGGTGGGGGGTTGACTGAAACGACACAGTTTAAAAACCCACCTTTACTTAGGAGGTAACAGCAGATCTCTCTCTCTCCATCTCGTTTTTAACAATGCAGAATGGAATCTTTATGCTTCGAGGCTCGTTTTGAATATACAATGGAGGGCCTTTTGTAGTTTTTTTTTTTTTAGTGTATACAAATCCTGTCTTTAGTGAATAGTTGAAGCTATTTTGGTGTGTTTTGAAGTTGGTTGTTTTTAAAAGGAATTTTTTTGGGCTGATTTGAGGGAAAAAGTTTAAGGGTTTTTTTTGTGTTTTTATGCGAGGTTCAGTTGAGTGAACCTTAGTGGTGGTTGAAGTATAAATTTGCTAAAAAGAAGTATAATCTTTTTTGAAGCTTCAAGTTTTGTTTGGTGAATGTGGGTACTAGAAGTGGAGAACTGAAGGGGGTTGTGATATTTAAGCGTTTTGTGCTGGTTTGAGCTTCAGTTGTTTGGCTGAATGGGGGACTCGGTGAATTCTCTTGGTGGGTTCCGGGTGATTTGGTTTAATTTAAGGAGGATTTGAGGGGAGCTTGGTAAATTTGGAAATTTGGGTGGCTTTGAGGGAACAAGGTGAAGATCTCTTGGAAAACTGTGTTAAATTAAAGGTGTTTGGAACAATGTCTGGAGCTCCAAGAGTGAAGTCAATGAATGTGACTGACTCTGAGGCCAGGTCTGTGTTAGGACCTACTGGAAATAATAAGGCAGGACCATTGAGTGCGCGGAAACCTGCTTCAAAACAATTGAGGAAGGTTGAGAAATCAGCGGAGGAGGTTAGATTAGGGGAAGAGAAGAAAACCCTTATAGTGCCCGCTGTCGGTACTTTATCCCCTAAATCACATTCTCTCAATATTTCTTCAGTGCTTCTCCGCCATGAGCTGTTATTGCATTCCAATTTGTCACTAAATGCTTCTTGTTCATCTGATGCTTCCACTGATTCATTTCATAGCCGAGCATCTACTGGGAGGTTGACTCGGTCAAATAGTGCAGGGACTAGAAAGAAGCAGTATGTTTCAAGGCCAAGAAGTTTTGTTTCTGAAGGGGGTTTAGAATCTCCACCATCTCCTAATGATTCACAGTCCAAGAAAAGTTGTGCCTGGGTGACACCAAATACGGGTATGTTTTCGCATCTTAGATTTAAGATTTTTTATTTTTCTTTTCATGAAGATACATTTGAATACTGCCACTAATTATAAGTTGAGCCTCGCAAGCTGTATATGCTAACTGTTACTAGTTTGTGTTTCTGAACCGTATAGAAAATCTAACAGAGAATTCATTTAAGCTTAATCCTATGAATGTGTTATAGGTTACGTAGTTTATTATGGGCTGCGTTACATGCCTTAAAAGTTCCCAGCACAAAAATGAAGGTTATTTTGGAAGTGCTTTTTCTAATATATATATAGAGTTATATTGCAAGGCGAGGCTTGTAGATGAGATGCGATGGTTATGATTGAATAAATAATGCAGCCCTGCTTCCTGCTGCTCTACTCAATTGTTGCTTCTGAAAGTTGGTCCAGACTTTCAGGTACCCAAGATTTCTACCTGGAATTGACCTCATTAAAGCTGGTTCAGTTACCCAGTTGAAACTCATTTTATCTACTGGAGGCTGAAGTGTTATTCTTGAAGAACTGAGCTAAAACAGCTGAAACTGGGCTTGGTTCATTCTTGGATTGTTCTAAAACAAATATAATTTTGATGCTACTAGTAATTTGTATAGCTTGAAAAGTGCTCTCTGTTGTAGATTTTAAGATTTTGATGTAGTTACAGGGCCCATAGCTAGTCATTTTGACTTTCCATCTTTCTGGTGCATTGACTTGGATCGTTCACTTGAGATTTGCAAGCTTTTGCCTTTCAATACGAACTATTTAATATGAGATGAAATGGAGCATATAGTTCTTCTGATTTTGGGAAGTCGACAAATCATTGATTCCTAACTGTATGTTTGCACTTTAAGTTTTGTGTTTTGAGAGTAAATATGTTGTTTAAATAACAAAATTATGCAGTTTTTCGTTCTCTTTTCCTCTCTGTTGTCTGATATGCCTCCTTCCATGTTTTTATTTATGTTAGTTTTAGAAAGGAATTCACAAGTCTGTTAAATTGAAACTACCTTCTTGTATCATCATTGCAAAAAAAAATAAAAAAAAATGAAAGGCAATGTGCACATGCTTTTATCAATATTGATTGGATTCAATTTCATGTTTGATGCAGGTACCATCTGTTGTATAATACTCCTCCTCCCATGTTTTTACTTGTGTCGGTGTTAGAAAGGAATACACAAGTCTGTTAAATTGAAATTACCTTCTTGTATCATCATTGCAAAAAATAAAAAAAAAGACTGTGCACATGCTTTTGTCAATATTGATTGGATTCATTTTCATGTTTGATTTAGGTAGTAATCGAAGTATATGAATGTCACTTAGGAATTGTTGTGTCGTGTGTTACTTAAGCATGTCAATTTGCTAAATAGCATTGTCCACATGCTTTAGCTATGCTTATTTTGGATTTTATTGCTGATCCGTTTTGAAATTGAAACCAGTAAGTATATGAATGTCACTTAGGAATTGTTGTGTCGTGTGTTACTTAAGCATGTCAATTTGCTAAATAGCATTGTCCACATGCTTTAGCTATGCTTATTTTGGATTTTATTGCTGATCTGTTTTGAAATTGAAACCAGATCCATGTTACGCCACTTTCCATGATGAAGAATGGGGAGTTCCCATACATGATGACAGGTATGTAATTGCAATATTGCTTGCACCTGTCTACTTGTTAAAAGATCTGTGATTCCTAGTATGATTATCTGTTTTAACGGCTATTTGCTTGATACTTTTATCTTCATGCAGGAAGTTGTTTGAGCTTCTTGTCCTTTCAGGTGCTTTGGCTGAACTTACTTGGCCTGCTATTCTAAGCAAAAGGCACATTTTTAGGTACCATGCCTATTCAACTTCCATGATTTTCAGCTGCTAACATGCTCATTAATAAACTCTGACCATCACATCATCTGTCCTTTCGCAGTCTCTTCCTCCTTGCAGTAATTGTATTGATAGATGGAGTTTATAAACCAGTTTCATTTGCAGGGAAGTTTTTGCAGATTTTGATCCAGTTGCAGTCTCAAAATTTAATGAGAAGAAGATTATTGCACCTGGAAGCACTGCAACCTCCCTATTATCAGAACTTAAGCTCCGTGCTATCATTGAGAATGCACGCCAAATATCTAAGGTAGATTCTCGCTTGTTTTAAGCTCTTTTTTTATTCTGAGCAGCAGAAACATTCACTTGCATAGGGCGCTGAATTTTTCTTATCTGTGGAAGATTGAAAGATCAGACTGGCTATCTAAGTAAATCCAATTTATCCTGGTTTTTTATGTTACTCTCAGTTTAGCCTAGTGTCAAAATAGCTTTTGGAGAACTCATCATTTTCTTCATCAAGTTGGGTTTGTTTATGCTTCATTGTCGTAGTGCTGATTACCTTAATTGGATCAGTGCATTTGTATTGGGGACCACTCATGATCTCTTGTTTGTGAAAGAATTCAAATGGCACACAACGTGAGCTTAATGATCATTTGACCAGTTTGGTTTGGTGAAAAGTAGTTGAGTGGTGGTCATGATTTCCCCTGTAATTTTTATGAATCTTACTGCACAAATTATAATATTACAACCTAGCTTGACTTTGGTAAGCTTACAGGACAAACTATAATGTTGCAAGTTTAAAACCACACAGCTTGACTTTAGTATCTTAACTTACCTCGAGAGTTGCTCATGCAACCTAATTATTCGTTTTCTTCAAGATGCCAGCTTGCCTGGTCGGTAACTCACAATTTATTTATCTGACTACGACTTCCAGTCATTAGCCACTTAACTTTGTTACTTAAGTCAGTTGTGATTGCGTACTTCATATATTTGCTATGATTATCATTTGCAACTAACCTTTTACAGGTTTTGTTGATGCCAGGTCATTGATGAGTTTGGGTCATTTGACAAGTATATTTGGAGCTTTGTGAACTTCAAGCCTATAGTTAGCAGATTCCGGTATCCTCGACAGGTTCCCGTGAAAACTCCCAAAGCAGATGCAATTAGCAAGGACCTTGTAAGAAGAGGATTCCGCAGTGTGGGGCCCACAGTCATCTACTCATTCATGCAGGTGGCAGGGATAACAAATGATCATCTCATTAGTTGCTTCAGATTCCAGGAGTGTTTAGACGCTGCAGAAGGGAAGGGAGAAAATGGCATCAAGTCTGAAGATATAAAAACCAACGACGTCATGGAATCGAAAATATCCATAGCTATTGATGAATTGAGTTTCTCCTCAGAATGACACTGGCGGCACATGGAGCTCCAGGTTCAGTGACTAGTTTGCCCTAGTGACTGATTCTCAGCTGCTCGTCAGGTAGCTGTGGAGATGTCTTTTTTGTATAAATCTTAATGAATTCTTATGCATGCTACGGATTCTTAGATTGTAGATTACTAAAAACGAATTGAATTCACTGATGATTGTGCTGTAGATGTGACCTGTTCGAGTGAAGCCATGAAAATTAATGTTGATTTTTTGTACAGTAAAAATAGCCAGTAATTACAATATCTCCACTTGATCCCACCATGGACATCAGGAAGCAGAATTTACCATTTATCAGTATCATACATTTGCACCCTCTGATTCATGCTTATGATCTTGCATGCATAGGGTGGACAGCCTCGGCAGGTGCTGGACAGCTCAAAAACTTTCAACCATTCAGTCCAGTTCGACTCGAAATGGTGGTATTTAAGGGCACACAATTTGATGTCCCCCGAGGACAAGACATGTTTGTAGGTTACACCTGTTTCATGTTTGAAGTAAGTGATGGCTGATGGATACATGGGCTTGGGAATCTGTGTGATTTATCTTTCGTGGTTATGATTAAAAAAAATAAATTGCATGTAATATAATAATTAAAAAAAAGGATATGTAGCTACGATTTGTGATTTTCTTATTTTTTTTAATTTATATTTGTTTTAAAATGTATTGAGCCTATCATTATATATAATTTTTACACACCCACAAAATATCCTCAATACTTTTTCATAAAAAATTAAAATTATTTTAATATTTTTAGATGTGCTGATATAAGAAAAAAAAAATTTTTAAAAATTATTCTCATACCAAACGTAACTACCATTTCTAAAGCAACATCTCTACCCTCTGGGGAGCAATACAAATGCAGTTTCTTAGAAGCTCGCAAATTTAACACGGAATTGGTTGGGCCTCATGACTTGTGAACCGAGCCGAAGAAGCCCAGATGAACATTGATCTTGAGAGGGGGGAAATTGACAATATCAAAATCCAAATCCCAAAGGATGCAGCCAACACATCGAGCGAATCAAAATAATACAGCTGGACATTAATTGCTCAGCTGTGACAACCATTTCATCAAGGATGGATGTGTGGCGCCCCTTTGCAGCAACCTTCAATGCTCTGCTTAGCTCCTCAATTACCTCTTAAAATGGGCACATCTACCATATCTACCTCAGGGTGCTTGATGAAGCCATAAATAACTAGCAGATTGATCACTCAACAAATAGGCACCTTTAAAGCTGCCACCTACCCTCTAGTGATAGTCTGAGATCCACGGCAGGAAAGTGAGAAAGCTGCTCCAGAAATGGAGATATTGAAATGGGTCCCAATCAAGACAAGGAAAAATGGATGCCAGCCATCTCTCTGTTATGCACTACTATTAGCCTACTCCAAACTGAGCTGGGAGGGTGTACAATACCAAATATACAACTCTTACTGAATCACTGCAGGAATATGGTAAGTTAAGGGGGGGGAAATAGATACAAAAAAAAGAAGACATCCTCAAACCTGATAATGTATTTTGAGAGCTACATGACTTCCATAAAATGACGGCCATCCCCTGGTAATCTTTATACTGTACCCCAGACAGAAGGGGGTCCTTCGGCTTTTCAAATTTTCAGCAAGGTTTGATTTCAAATCCTATGCTCAGAAGGGTCCGAGCTGATTCTATTGCCTTCTCCTTCTCACCCCCGAGATCAAGGGTTTCACCAGTTAATTCGCCTTCCTTTCCAACCGACCACTGGGTTGAAGTAGCTTGGCCTTGCAATGCATCGGCTTTCTTAATTGCCAAGTTGCTCATTGAAGCAGGAGCAGCTGCAGCAACAAGTGGAGCACTTGGTGGGCCATGTCGCTTCTTCGGTACAGGCATGTCATGGTCATGTACTCCCTTGTATGTTATAATGACAGCATTTGTGTTATCCACTGCTGTTTCAATGTGCTTTCGGACAGGACATCCAGCTGAAGTGCATCTATAATAGTTCCTGTAAAATTCATTCAAGCAATAGATCACAAGTAAGATTTGATGCATGAACCAGTTTATATTTGGAAGTTGTAACTCAGATCAATGAAGGAAACGCATAATGTAAAGCTTTTGAACTGGTTATTATCCTGGAAGTTACTCCCTCAGTTCAATGAGGTTGAGATTCCATTGAGTCACATCTGTGAATATTCTAACACGATAAAAATTCTTATCAGTCTCTAGAACACCTACTCTAAAGAATCCTTTAATTAGAGCAGGATGGATATGTGCATGCAAAAACAATGTTGTAAAGCACATGCAGCCAGGTGGTATTCAGGAAGCTAACTCAAAAGTACATCAAGAAGCACAGACAAGTCATAATCTGGAGGAAATGAGCACAGGACCAGTTTCTATCCGGCGGATGCCTGCTGGCATGCATTGCAGGATATGCAGTTGCAGGGTTAAGAGTTGATTACAATCCCAGTGAGTATAGAAGTCTTGGACTTGTCATTAATTGATAAACCAACTCAAGTTAACATGCAAGATTAGTGATTATATTCTCTCGCAGAAAAAAAAACTATAGCCATGAAATGATATCAGTTACCAGAATAGGTACATAATTTTTTTTATTCTTCCAACTATGAAAAACCATCTATTTTATATTAAAAATAAGTACCTTCTAAGTTTCTGAACTTGGATTCTTGGAAAAGTTCGATTGGAAGTGCCTCTTAACATTTAGATAAAAAGATAGCTGAGACCACAAGTGTTGACCAAAAACCTAAGGTTCTTATAGAGTTTTTATTTGAGCAGGCTAAAGATGCTATGATCTTGTGAAGGGATTGAGTGGGCCGAAATACATCCAAGCTTTAAAAAATTACAATGTATCAAATGAAAAAAAGCATGAATGAAAAAATATCTCTTGATTTAAAGAAATGAAAATTCACATCATAATTACCCATTTAAAGCTACGAGAAGCATCATGAAAAGGTCAAACTAAGGAAGCAACTTGTAACTTGAACATAGTAGTCCAAACCTTAAAGCCAACAGGTCGCTGTATTTTACCTAACACCAGAAAACCACCTTCTTGACATCTTAAAATGAAATGATGCTGTATTCACTGCTCATAATCCATAAATGACGGGGAACTGGAAATCCTTGCAGGGTGTTTGTCGTGAACTAGTTATATTTGAGGCTTGCTCTTTAATTGGCATATAAGGAAGCATGCCATGAGAACATAAAAGGGGGGCATAATCCTACAAGAGACAATGTTTTCAGCAACTTTCAAGCGTGTCCCTTTTCCTTCTTGGTTTCCAGGTATCATTTCGTTTTTCAGAATTAGAAGTGCTATCAACCAGTTAGAATTGAGGCCTACTTGATTCAAGTTGAGTTACATGTTTCAGTTTTTAACTGGGAGTTTTGGATGGGTTTTGAGGCCTCTAATGAGCTTTACCATGAAGAGTGCTATCCAATTTTCAGGGCAACCATCAAGTTTTAAGGGCATTAAATTTGTAATTCAAACAAGGGTTGAAGATGTGTTTAGACTTTCAAACTTTAGAATAAGCTAGGACAATACAACCTATGACAATGGCATACAGAAAATGAGAGGGTCAAAACAGTATTAACCAACAAAGATCATGCCTAGCTTGAGCCATGTCCAATAGCACTACTGTGCATAAAGAACGGAAGACATTCAACACACCCACAATGCACTTGAAGATATGAAGACGGTGACATGGCTTCAGAAAATGGAACAATACAAGGTGCAAAAGTACATACATGAACATGAATAAGTCAACTCCATCCCTCAAAACATCAAGGGTTCAGTTAGATAATATTTGAACCCATCTGAGGCTTCCATGGAAGCTATAAAAAAACAGATCTTAGCAACCAACACATCTCTCCCCAACAAAAAGGGAACACAAGCTGTCAGAACTCCTATAACTTATCAATAGGACAGCATCTAAGATGATGAACCAAGTCACCATCACAGCAGTGCTCATCAGAATCTGCCTCACTTTATATCCACAATCTGAACACTTAGAAGAACGGTTGTTCACACAAAGCATGAGACCTTCAAAAATCACATTTTTAAGCCTTGAAACTATCTTGTCAAACAGCCCCTTACTTTTAAAGCTCCCAAAACAAAATCAGGCAGGTTCACCTCGAAATTTAGCATCTGAAAGTGGCTCATAATACAACTCCACTGCCCTTTACTCTGCAGATAATCTAGAAAGGGACCTCAAACACTACTTCTTAATCCTCAAGAGTGAACTTCAGGCCCCCCTTGTGCCCATTCCTCCTACCCCAATAAGAAAAGAAAGGGAAAAAAAAGAGGAAGAAGAAAAAGAATCACCAAAGGCAGTCGCTGCACTGTCACTGCATATCAATCATACAATCAAGCCTTCAAGGGGACAGGGACACTAAATATAGCACAAGTCCCAAATTCGTTCTTGACAGCCCTATTGAAATAATTGTGGGAAACACCTTAGCATCTTCATTTGGTTGTTCAGTATTGTAAGTGCACCAGTCATGTTACAAGGAATATACTACCACAGATACTGATCTAGAGGACATGAATTTATGAGAAACATCCTGTATGCCACTAGTGCTTCAGTATTTATAGGTTGGAAAATAATTTCACATCTACCAAATTTAAATGCAACTCAACGTATATGTCATCTGAAATTGGCTACTTGTTGGCCAAGAAAATGTCTGATAGCTACGAACAAAAACATGGTGATATTATAAGGGTTCAACCACACATCATCAAGCCAACTGAGCACCTAGTAACATAGGCACTACAAAAAAAAAAAAAAAGATAACAAACTAAAACTTTACAATGCAAGATCACACTGGAATTTACATAGCATTGTCATAAGATAACATGTTATTGATTTATTAAGTCAAAATTGTCAAACATACATGGAAAATTCAAGAAATAAAAACCGAACCTGGGATGAGGATTTCCCTTCACCATCTTCTGTCCATACTTCCGCCATCTATATCCATCACCTGAGATCCCCACATCACCTGCTGCATGAACGATGAATTTAGGTTTTTTTCCAGGTTTAAGGACAGCTTTCGAGCATTCTAAGTTTCCCTTCAATCTGGTCAGAAATGAGCAAAAAGCATTATCTCCAACACTGACTTTACAGAAGAATAACAAGAAGTGCTAACATCACTTAGAATTAAAGTTTGAGGAAACCAAATTCACAAAAAAGATTGCCTTCGTTTTGGCTCAGGTTCACTGATATTCTCCTCTTTTATTTGAGTTTCCTTGTTCTCATCTGAGCTGCTTGCACTCTGTCGTTTTCTTTCAGATATTGCGGATGTTTCTTGTACAAGTTCAATTGACAATGTGGCAGGTTCTGAGTCTTTGAGCATTCTGACGGTATGCTCAGTTACAGTGGTCTGCAAAATAGGCCCAACAGATAATCCAGTCCTGCTTTTCCTTGTGCTTCTATTCTTCCGAGGTGGATCATGACTGTGCATTCCTTTATTAACAATCTCAATCACATGGCCTGAGTGATCAGAACATTCAATCTTTTTAGCACAACAGTCAAAATAAGTGCACTTGTAGTAACTTCGAGAACCTCTAGGACTCTTCACTTGCTTCTGGCCATATTTACGCCAGTTGTATCCATCTGGAATAGATGTCTTCGCTACAGGAACATAGAGAGCCTTGAGCTCAGCAGAACTTTGGTTCCCTGCTTCTGATATACATGCATTCTTAACCTCTGGGGGAGACAATTTTTTTACTGGAGGAGTTGGACTTGGAGCAGACGAGATAGGTTGTGTAACAGAAGTTGGTGACAATTCCGACAAGGAAGTTGGACATACAGAAGGCTGAAGCTGATTTTGGGTCTGGGCTCCAGAAGTCTTGTCTGCTACCCTTCCCAAAACTTCCTGGTGCGACAACCCTACTTGCTCCTATGAAAAAAAAAATGCACAATTAAAAAAATTGTTCATTTGGCAAACATTGTACCAAGCAGCTAAAAGTTCATGAAAATGGTCTAATGTTTTCTCACTTTTGGGAAATTTACAAGAGCATACATCCAGTGCTTTATTGGAAAGGCATAAAGTGCACCCATTGACTTATTGTGAGCCAGGTTCCACACTTTTATTCCAGAGAGAATTTTCAACAAAGGGACAATCATTTTTTCTTCTTTCTTGGACAATATTCACTACCCAATGCAAAGAGTTACAAGCAGCATAAGACACCAAACAACTATTAAGTCACCTTTGCAGAAGCAAGTCAGTCAAGGTTTAACAAAGTCTCTTCCTACATTTATGAACACTTCATTGCCTCCACATTGCAGTCTGACCATTTGCTTAAGTTCAACTTCCCATGCAGTTGACTTGCCCCCTTTATCCTCCATCTCAATGCTTTAGTTTTTCTGGTTCTGCTTGCACTATCCCAATTTTGAACCATTTTTATGGTGTTTCCAAAAGTTAAACTAATAAATCTAAAACCATTGGACAGCACTCCTATTTTTAGGGTTAATTAGATCCACAATTCCACCCTTAAAGCAGCACTTTATAAGTTAATGGCTCTCCCCTTTTCTTCCTCTTCTTTCTTTTTCTAACTGCAGGGAAGTGGAGTTTTTCACAGAATTTACCAACTAACAAAGTGTCCCCCCTTTTGTTTCTGAAACAAACAACCACAAGACCCGAAAATGAAACTTTCAATCAGTGGCATGTGAACTTAAAGAGTTATACTCAAATCATCTATGTTAAGCTTTCAGTAACAGCAATAACTTCCACTCAGGGAACCTAAACCCCCACTCAAAATCACTTCATCAACTCCATAAACCCTAGAACTAAAAACTTCCACCACCACCACCAACAACAGCAAATCACACATCAATACTCTAAAACTTCCATTTACCAACTAGAAAAAATAAATAAATAATTGAGGTGTCACAAATTGCTAAGCAAGAAAATGAAATAAATAAATAAGCTTCAGCTACTAACCTTGTATTCAGCTTCCACGTGCGTCTCTGCCGCTGAATTTCCTTTCAAACCTGCAAGATCATCTACAGAAATTACGGGAAAAAAAACACTGTGTGTGTGTGTGTGTAAAACAGAATTACCTGAATACTGATCATTCTCCTTCGGTAGTATCTCCGTGGAAGACAGCGGCATCACCGTTAGGGTTTCCACTTGCTCCTCCCTCACCTCCTCCTCCTTCTGCGGACTCGGTACGATTTGCTGCAACTCACTGAGTTGACTCTCCTTCTCTTTCTCTTCCTCCTCCTCTTCTTCTTCCTCATTATAATTGCCTTCTAATTCCTCTTCTCCTACAAAGTCACCGTCGTTTTGTTCATTTCCTTCACTTTTATGTTCCTTATTTTCTACTGCGAGAGCTTCAAAGCTCTCACTCTCTGCCATGGCCAACTGAGTACAGTTCGGAAACAGTTCCAACTGCCTCTATTTTTTTAATTTTGTACCGAAATTAAAAGCCGAAACCGATTTATCGGATTTTTTAAGAGATGGAAAGTGAAGGGGCTGCTTTGCTTTGCTAGCGAGGGTATATGTGTCTTTGACTACAATTGACTCAGGTGGTTTTTTTGGTAAGCGAGTGTGACTGACCAACGCCGTTCATTTCTCCATTCGTTTAGCTGATCATGATTTGACAGGTTCTCTTAACGGCGGGTGGCCGTCTCTTGATGCCCTTCTTTTTCTACTATAACTATACAGTGATCAACTATCCGTGCTTTTCTGCGGCACAATGAAAAGTTAATTATTGCATTAAAAAAATCTGTGAGCATTTTTTTTTTTTTTATTGCATGTTGTAAAATATTTCGAACGAGGATAGATTTTTTTACCAGTGTCTCAAATCAATTTAGTCATCGTGTTAATAAATAAATAAAAATTAGTGTGCCTTATTCAACAGCTTCAGGACCTATTTATTTTTATATTGTTAAAATATTTTTAAATAAATTTATTTTTTTATTTTTTATTTACTTCAAATTAATATTTTTTTGATATTTTTAAATTATTTTAATGTGTTGATATCAAAAATAATTTTTTAAAAATAAAAAAATTATTTTGATATATTTTCAAATGAAAAACATTTTGAAAAACAATCACAATTATAATTTTAGATAAATTCTAAAAATAAATTGATTAATTTGTTTAAATAGTGATGCGAATAAAAAAAATAAACTACTAAATTTTAACTTAGTTCCAACTTAAATATAAAATAATATATTGATAAAGGATTGAGTCCCGAGAGAATTTCAAGAAGTGAAATAAAAATATAATAAGTTAATATATTAAATTTACTATTTGGATAATAAACATGAGTACAATAAGTTAAATTGATTGGATAATTTATTTATTTTTCCTTTTTTTTTTTATTGAGCATTAATTGATCTTAAATTGGATAAATCTAGAACTAAATTTAAAAGTTATAAAAAGAATTAGAGACAAGATTTAAGAAGTAAATAAATGTTAAAGGATTTAATTGGAAAAATATCAGCATAAAGAAAGAGAGAGAAAAAGAAAAAAAAAACCATCCCCTGAGGAATCTATTGAGCTGTAAAATTTGAAAGCCCAGAGTCATGAAATTCTAGACTCGAGTTTAACTAAAAAATTTATTTCTCAACTGATGTATTGTTGAAGAATAAAATAAAAAAATATTTTAATATAAATAAATTATCAAAATAAAACAAATAGCTATAGAAAAAACAGTGATTAAATTTGACATTAAAATAAAATAATATTAAAAAATAAATAATAAAATTAAAAAATAAATCCAACAAAAAAAATGATTCATAACAAGACAAATAATAATCAAAAGAATAAGAACTAAATCTAACATATAAAAAAATAAAAATAAAAATTAATTGAATAAAAAATTAATTTTATAAATTATTTTAAATCAAACAAATAGTAATAAAAAAACATAAACTAAATCTAAAAAAAACAAATTGAAGTATTGGTTTAAGATTTGGAGTCTAGATATAAAAATCAAGAAGACAAAAAAAAAAACAATTAACACCAAACCAAAAATTCATACATTCCATATGGAGATGAAGGAGCCACTAAGATATTCTAACATCACCTTGGAAGCCTATTTTGTTATTAGACTACTTTGTATATGTTGTTCACATGACGCGTTTTCAATTCATGCATTGATGCTTAAAATGTACATTTCATCTATTTTTAAAAAATAATATTTATTTAATTATAAAAATGTCCTCGTTCAAATTTAATAATAACAAAAGAACTTGATTGAAAAAATAAAAAATTATGAATGTCAATTAAATTTTTTTTAAAAGGCAATCTATTCATTTTAATATATACTAGACACTTGTTTAGGTTTTTCTTAAAAAAATTTAATGGTATGTTAGTAATTTTATTATGTAAAAAAATATAAAAGGCCCTATTATCCACAATAATCAAGTCAAATATCTTTTTGTGAAGATGATAAAATCATTATTTTCCTATTTCAACGGTGCAAGTAAGTCTAGATTTATATTATTTGATACTATTCAAGTCAATTATTTTTTTTAAATGATATCATTTTATTTTTTTCTTGGTCATTTTGAATGGGTCAATCACGTTGCTAAAACCTTGTTATACAAATCGATTTTTATTGGGTTAATATGTGTGTGTTTGTGTGTGTATGTGAGAGGGAGAGAGGGGTGCAACACCTGTTTTTATCTACAGAGAAAACGCCACAGGCTATAACAATTTTTTTCTCCTTTTAATTTCAAATCCCAGATGATAAAAGATGGAAGAAGCAAATTTTCAGACTACAAGAGTGTGTTTGAAAGTATGGTTGATGTTGTTTTTTAAAGTGATTTTCATTTATAAAAATGTCAATAATATTTTTTTATTTTTTAAAAATTATTTTTGAGATCAGCGCATCAAAATGATTTAAAAACATTAAAAACATATTAATTTAAAATAAAAATAAAAATTCAATTTTTTTAAAAAACGCTTTTGAAATGCAATGCCAATGGTCAATCACGTTGCTAAAACCTTGTTATAAAAATCGATTTTTATTGGGTTAATACATGTGTGTATGTGAGAGGGAGAAAGGGGTGCAACACCTATTTTTATCTACAGAGAAAACGCCACAGGCTATGACAAATTTTTTCTCCTTTTAATTTCAAATCCCAGATGATAAAAGATGGAAGGAGCAGGTTTCCAGTGACTATAAGAGTGTGTTTGGAAGTGTGGTTGATGTTGTTTTTTAAAGTGATTTTTATTTATAAAAGTGTCAATAATATTTTTTTATTTTTTAAAAATTATTTTTGAGATCAGCGCATCAAAATGATTTAAAAACATTAAAAACATATTAATTTAAAATAAAAATAAAAATTCAATTTTTTTTAAAAACGCTTTTGAAATGCAATGCCAAACAGACCCTAAATGCATTGTTCTGCCTGTTTTTACTGTTATGCCATATTATGTGTATGAATCTAAGCCGTCCATGTGCCCATGAGAAGAAGAGTAGAAGATATGGACGGATCAGATCAGAAAATAGCATGATTGCTTTAAAATAATTACAGGGGACATGGCGACATGAAAGAGTACATTCATGGTTAAGGGAGAAAAGAGATGATCACATGCGTTGGCTGGGATGTAGGGAGCATGGTGCTCCAACAAGATGGGACATTTCTAGCTTTTGCCAACATGTGAGATATCTTATTGAAACATTAATTGCCTTTGCATTAAGTGCTAAATGGGATGGGGAATGTTTTATATGTATATTAAATAAAATTTGTTCAATTGATTGTGAGACTTCATGGGCCATGGGGACAATGATATCTAGTCGAGTTGAGTTTTTGCTTTCAATGGAGGGCTTATTTTTACTTTATTAGCATCCGAATCTCATTTTTTTTTTTTTGTTTAGATAGATTTAACTTTTACCTTCAACTGAGGGTCATTTTTTACTCACTACCATGCGATTCCCAAAATTTTAGATAGAGTTAATTCTAAATTAGATTCTATAGTTTTTTAAAATTAATTAATTAGTTACTAGTATGGATAATGAAATTAGAATAATTAAATAAAAAAATAAAATTTAATAAAAATAAAAATACAAAAATCAAGAGATGAACATAAATTATGATATTTAATAGCACAATACGAGATATTTACTCGATTGTGTTTAATAAATTTATTTATTAAAATTAATTTGTAATAAAAACTGGTAAACACATAAAATTTATTAAATAAAATAAAAGATAAAAAAATTATATAAGATTGTACATATTAAAAATATTATTAGAAAATAAAAAATTTTAATTTATAAACATAAATTTAATTTAAATAAAATATATAAAAAATGATAGATAAATTATATCAATCCCATGAAAAATTAAATACATTCAATATAATTAAAAAAAATAATATTTAAAAAAGATTAAATAAACCAAGAAAAATAGAGGGGTATTAATTAAAAAAATTAAAAAATACATAGAAAGGTATTAATTGATAAAAAAAAAAACTAGAAAGGAAAAAGCCGGGACGTAGGCCTTGAAGCTTAGGCAAATGATGGTGTAACTCTGGTTACAAGATTGTTAAATAATTTTCATGCTACAATGACTAGTTAAAGTAGTTCGAGAAACTATAGGCATTAATTAATTTAGTTTGATAAAATATAGGGACTAAATTATGATTAAAAAATAGAGATATTGAAGTTAAAATTCCCCACTTAAAAATTTATTTGAAAATATAATTATGGTTATTTTTTAAAGTATTTTGCATGTTTATAAATATTAAAATAATATTTTTTTATTTTTAAAAAATTATTTTTAAGGTTAACACATTAAAACAATTCAAAATATTAAAAAGAAATATTTTTAATAAAAATAATAATTTTTAAAAAAACACCGTCACATTCCTAAACGTTGTAGAAGTCTCCTTCCCAAGGATGATAAAAGTCTCCAAAATTCTTCGTTCTCATGTAAAATAATTCCTTCGAAATAAAAAGATCAACTAGGTGTGCATTGTGCTTCATCTCTGGTGCAAAACAATTACTCTTGTTCCTACATGGAGAGATTATATTTTTAGTTAAACCAGATAAAAAAATAATTTTATAAAATTAAGTCAACCCAGCAAAGTTTTTACTTCTTAGGGATCCAAAGGCGACATCAAGGAAAATAAATTTTTAAAAAGAAAAAAAAAAGAAAGAAGAGAAGATGCTATTTTTTTTTTATTTTGACTCGAATTAATATAATAACCAAAACCTTTACTCTAGTCTCCAATGAGATGACAACGTGAGCGCTGAGATTTGAGAAATATCCGCCCATGTCATGTCACTCTCTCCACGTCCCCTACAGGGCTAACGAAGTTCTCAGACTCATGTTACTCTGCACAAGAGAATCATTTGTTAGCTCGAGAAGATCGTCAAATATTCCCTGACGACACCACCGTTCTTTTACATACCGCCACCACCACCGTTGATTCAAGAATTGTTTGATATTATAATATTAGTTGGTTTTAAAAATTTTTTATTTAAAAATGTATTAAAATAAAATATGTTTTTAGTTTTTTAATATTGTTATACATTATTTTAATCAAAACAACAAAAAAAAAATAATTATAATATAAATTATATAAAAATATTTAAATTATTAAGAGATGATTTATCACTTTAAATAAATTAAAAAAATATTTCATATGTTCTGAATAGTATTAACTAGGAAATCCTTAGTGAAGGTAAAATAAAATTTGAAAAAAGTTTCAAATTTTATTCAAACAATCAATGACTATTATGTAGAAAATAAAAATAATTGAACATGATAAATATATTTCATGTTTTAATGTTAAATTAAAATATTATTGATGAAAGGACATTAATTACACTAAGAAACCAGTCACTGAAATATTAAACCAAACCATTAATAACTTTTCTAATATTTCGATACAACTAATATTCAAATATAAATTAATTAATTATTGAATTGATAATAAATTAAATTATTTAATTTATTTAATTAAAATTATTTAAGTTAACATATTAAAAATCTAGTTGGTCACACATATTAAAAACTATTAGTCATAAATTAAACAGATATAATTGATTTAAGTATGACTTTATTAAAATATAGTTTATAAATTAAGGATTAAATTATAATTGATAAAAGGATTATATTTCTAGACCTAGAAAAATTAAATAAGGACTTGATTCAGTTAATTATAAAATTATCTTGAATTAATAAATAGATATTATTCCAAAGAAAAATTGATATTTTGCCAATTTATAGGGTTTTTCAGATTTCTCTATAAATTATAAGTTATGCTTCTTATTTTTTTGTAGCTATTTATTAGATAGAAAAATTATGTTAGTCACATAATAGAGAGTTAACATTCTAGGAATAGAAATCCCTCTCTTCTAATTAAAAATTTAAGAGATTTTTCACTAGTGATTCGCGTGGATTAACGTTGGAGGCTAGACAATTAAATAATTTGTGGTTTGTAACAAATCAGCTTCTAAAGAATTATTTAAAGTTGAAAAGGATCATATCTTCAAGTAATAAGTCTCTAAACAACTTTAGATTTATCTAATGCGATAATAAAGACTTTCAAATAATATATTTTTTTTATTGTTTTCACTATGTGTGTAATATTCGGGATCCCAATACTCTTGTATAGGGGCTTTATAGACATTTCAATTTTTTATGCACAATGCAATTACTTAAATTCTCTTGTGTTAAAAAAGGATTAGAACTCCCTTATAGGGGCTTTTTAGTCTTTTGCTATTGACTTTTTTTTTTTGTTATACTCATTCTACAATGGCAATTTTGTTGTTTTATAAATATAAAATATTAATAAAAAAGGTGGTTACGCGTGTGATGCATGCGTCAACAAATGAATGTCACTCACCTCTCTTTAGACGGCTCATGTGGCGTGTTACGACAATGAAACCTTGTCTTTCATGGAGGCATTGGAAGCACACCAACGTTCTTTTCCTAGTGGTATAATGTGTGTGTGAGGTGGAGAGACAATTAAACTTTGATAAAAAAATTTCTTCTCCTCCCTCTTTTCTCTCTCTTCTCCTCACCAAAGTGTAAAGGTGTTCTCTCATTTATTTTTTATATCCCATTTAGTTTTTATTATTTTTATTGCTATTTGTTTTATATATATATATATATTGGATTAATTTTTTATTCAATTTCATCTCTCATCATTTGGTTGTATTAGATTTTTATATCAAATCTGGTTTTTATTCTTTTGATTTTCTTAACATTTTTAATAATTGAATTTTATTTTTATTTTCATTTGTGAACATTTGATTTTTATTTATTTTTTATATCAAATCCGTTCCCTATTATTGTTATTGCTATTTTTTTGGATCTTTTTTATTGTATTTAAAAAAAAAACATTTCATCCCTCAATATTGTTTTTACCAAGAAATTTTCTTGTTTGCCCTCTATAAGTTTAGTCCTGACCTCATGATTAAAGTCACAAGTTTTAAATGTTAACATAGGTTAATTTTGATTTTTTAGGTTCTTTTATAAAATTGATTTATTTAAATTTTATTCTTTAATATTTATTTTTTAATTAGTCTTCATGTTTTTCTTTCATTCTTCTTTTTACTAGTCCTATTCTCATTGCTACAGAGTTTACGAGTTGATTTAATGATTTTTTTTCATTGTTTTTTTTTAAATATTCTAGTTTCATCATTTAAATTTTTTTTAATTAAAATTTTTTTATTTTATTTTTTCGTGTTTGCCTTCTATGCATTCATTCTCAACCTCATGACCACGATTATGGGTTTTGAAAATTAACACTTATTGTCTTATTTATTTATTTATTTTTAATTTTATTCTTTAACATTTGATTTTTTAGGAATTGATTTTCATGCTTTTTCTTTTTTCACTTTATTTTCTATAGGGCTATCCCAATCTTATGCCCATGGTCCTAAGCTTAGTGAGTTGACCTATATCCTTTTTTATTGTTTTTTAATTTGTATTTTTTTAGTTTTTCCATTTAGCTTTGTGTTGTTCGATAGTTTAGATCTATAGTTTTATTCAATTCACTTTAATTAATGACTTTTATTTTTGTCTTTCACTTGCACGAATAATCATTTGATTAAATGAAAAAAATATTTTCATAAATAAAGTTATTAAACTCAAATGAGTATATGGCCTGTGTTGTAAAATCAAATATTTTAATTTTAGTTATCTCTTGATTAAATGTTGATTTATTTAATTAAAAAAGATGTGTGTATAAGAATTTTGATTTATGATTGAAAATATTTTTATATCCAAAAACGTGTTGGAAAAGCTTATATATTTATTTTTTTATTGAAAAGCAAAATATAAACCATGAGCAAAATAGCTAATATAATCTAAATCTACATACACAAAATAAAAAGCTAGATGATCTAAAACAATGAAAAAGTAAAAAAAAATTAAGAAAAGTAAAGGTTTTCATCTATACGAACCATCAATGACAACTAGATGATCTATTTATAGATAACTAAAGGGATGTTTAACATTATTTTTGTTTTCTGATTTCTAGATTTGAAAAGTTGTTTGTTTTCAATAAAATAACATTTGGCTGAAAACTAAAATTGAATTATTTTAAAAAATGTTTTTTAATTCACCACCCTAAGTTTTTGAAATCAAAGTGGATTCAGGTAGTTAGAAAATGGGCAAAATCAAGCTCAAACCAGGCTCGAAATGCACATTGGGAGTTGGATCTCTATGCTGTGGTTGGATCACTACGTTAGGGCTAGGGTGCTCGAGGATCAAACCGAGGTTAAGTTCTAGGTGACAAAGGTACGATTACGATCGAGTCTGGAGCTTCTATGCAATCTGTTTTTTTGGGAATTATCTTTCTGGTCCTTATGGACACCTCAGACCCAATTTCATGATGAATCTTTTGGATTTTTTGGGTCAAGGGTTTCTAGGGATCCAAATCGACCCGTTCCGAAAGAGCATTAAGCAGAATGATATGTCCAAGCCAGAATGCATACAAGCCCTAATTGGGCCCTAAACGCTTTGGGGAGCTTCACGGAGCCCATAAAAAAATAAATAAATCTAATCTTCGAATTTCGAAGATTTCATCACTGTGAGTTGAGGCTTTGATGTGATATGGTCTATTGTCGTTCTGCGGGATCCGATCATTTAAGCAGTTTTGAGGTTTAACCTTGCGCTTGTTTCAAGCATGGTAAAAACATGATGGTCTGTTCATTTGTTTGAGGTTTTCAGCGTTGGAAGGAAGGCAGGGTTGTAAGTTATTCTATGGCGATCTCTTCCCTTCTTGCACATTTCCTTTTTTGTTTTTTTTTTAATGATGTTTTAGAAGATTTTCTTTTAATGGTAGATTCTCTTGTATCATACAAGACATCAAGCATTGTTTTACTGTGGATGTTTTCAATACTGCATTGTTATCGAGGATGAATTCTGTTCAGCGTTTTTATCTAGATTTTGATCTATTCATCGTTACTGGCTTTTCTGAACTGGAGAAACCACTTCTAATTGACTTGTCGGGAGAGAAGGATGTTGTGTAACTTATCCTAAAAGACTCGTAAACACAAGCTCATGCACGCCCACGTACATGGACTGACTTCAACAGCCTTTCCTAAGAATGTATTTGATTTTAATTTACTTGTTTTGATCATATTTCTCATGATCCTTGATCATTATAAGAAGAAATAATGGAGGAGGGATCGCCAAAACCTCCAGTCTCATTGCGGGGCAAAATCCGCAGCTTGAAGCACACTATTAAAGAAGCATACCAAAGGAAGCCAGTCTCACACTGGATTCTTCTAGCTTTGAGCACCGCGGCAGTGCTCTTTGTCGCGTCAAGCCTTCTAACACGGGTCTATTATTCAAATGGGGGCGCAAGCAAGTGGATCATTCATGGATGGCAGTTGTTGGGTGGCCTTTAACTGCGTTAATTCTGTCTTCGTTGATAGTTCTCCCACTCCTCTGACCTTCGAACTCCTTGTTTCTTATATTGTGCTCGGTTTTTCAAGTGCTGCAGATAATCTCATGTATGCATATGCTCATACATGCATACCTCCCAGCATCAACTGCTGCTCTTCTAGCTTCATCATCCCTAGTGTTTTCTGTTCTCTGTGGATATTTTCCTGTGATGAACAGGAAAGCTTCAATGGTAAATGATGTTGTCATAATTACTGCTGCTATGGCAATAATTGCATTAGATTCAGATTCAGCTAGGTATGATCATGTCAGCAGCTGTTATTTTGCTGCATGATCCCATGAAGGGCTTCAAGGTTCTTCCCCGAATAATCACATCTTGGGGATTTAGTTCTTACACATACATGGAAATTCCTCTACTGGTATTACAGATTCCCAATCATGATTTATTGGCGAGTTCCCATCGTATCTTTTTTCTTTTTTGTTCCTGCTATATAGCAATGATACACAATTAGGTTACATTACTACACTACATGGTGCAACATATTGCTATGTTATAGCTTTGCTTGCAAGTTGTATGGCACATTAAGAAATGCATGAAATAATTAGATGAACTTGTAGAGAAGATTTTACTTCAATTGACGCCACTGAAGTAGTTTTTTTCCTCCAAATTACCTTGGACTGCAATAGCCAACCTTTTGTAAGCTGGATATTTATCTGATAATATCCTGGTCGCTGGCAGTGATAAAAGAAAAGTAATGCTTGTCCATTTAGAAATGAATTACCAGGGTGGTCGTCAGAAAAATAACGAAGGCTGGCATCAAATTTCTCGAGGAGCAAGAATGATTGAAAAAGTCACATTGTTGAGTGTAGATCATAGCCTAAAAACTAATATTTTTTTTAGATTAATATGGGTATTTAGGCCAACTTAAGTATACTAAAACTAATTTTACAGGCTCCGAAGTTAACCATATTATATAAGTAATTAATAACTCTAAAAAAAACAAACTTCTTAATCTTAATTTCTTAAACCACCTGAATCGTTAAAAAACTAATACTTTATTTGATATCTGTGTTGAACACATGAAGGTGGTAAATTGATTTATCTCGAGGGCCTTGAAATAAGAAAAGGAAGAAACAAAAGCTCGGCAATTTGGCTTTATCCAATAAACATGTTAAGGTTCACTATAACTAGAGCAACCACCCTCCTCTTTCGAGGTTTCGACGCTCAAAAGCCGTAGTCACATGTCATCCACAAAGCGTATAATGGCCGTAAGCTAAATGATTGAATGTTTAGGGGTATTTTGCATCTTTTTCAGCCTGACATTTCTATAAACCATTTTTTCAGCCTGACATTTCTATAAACGAAAGGGGAATTTTGGGTGGTAAATCATCTTTCAAAAGCATGCCCTTCCACCGCAATATAACACAACCACGCACTAAAGATGTTATCATAAAAAAAAAAGAGAGAAAAAAAAAGGGATAAGCTGCCACAGGTTCGTACTGGAAGAAACACAAGTTTAACCAGACTAAACTTGTGATTCCAGGTGCCAAGATTGAAATTTCCGTTGATCCGGAAAAATCATCTCAACAATCAACGTGCTATTTTAATGAAGTAATGACATTAGCATATGCCTCATGCAAAACTTCGTGTTGAGTCATGACCTGAACATGTAAACGCTTGGGCTGGCAGCACCTAAATCTGACCAACAGCACTTGCCTACCTTTCGACCCAACATGACTAGCCTGTGTACAGATATTGGATGATTGACCCGGCCGTAGAAATTAGCGGTTTCCCAGTTTGGCCGAGGATTAGCCAGGAAAGGTAACATAAGAACTAACGAAAATTTCCAACGCTTTGAAAAATACTGCCAGGGCATGGGATTTCTCATAGCCAAACTAAAAATAATCACAAAGGCGAGCACACTCCACCTGATCCAGCTATAACTGGTGTTGTGATTTGAGGCTGGATCCAGACACAGCACGGCACAAGATTTCTCATGGCAGACAGAATAATCACAGCATGCCTTTGGTGACATCGACGATAGACATGAATTGGCTCTTTAAATCTATAGCTGTACGAGCTCAAAGGAAAAGGGTTGAGCACAAAACTTTATTTATCTTTAAGTAGCACAGACAAATGTGAAGTAGATATATATAAATTCCATCCTGCTGA